CGCACGCCTGTAATCCCAGCCACTCAGGAGGCTGAGCTCTGAGGATGGTGGTACAAAGCCAGCCCCGGGAAGGAAGGTCCGTGAGACTCTTATCTCCAGTTAACTAGCAAAAGAAAGCCAGAAGGGGTGTGGCTCAAATAGTAGAGCGCCAGCCTGGAGTGAAAAAGCTCAGGGACAGTACCTAGGCCTAAGGTCTTACACGCGCGTGCGTGCACACACACACACACGCCAGAGGCCAAGGTGTGTTTTTCTGGTTCATTGTGGGGCTTGAACTCAGGGCCTGGGCGCTGTCCCTGAGCTCTTTTTGCTCAAGGCTGGCGCTCTACCCCTTGAGCCACAGCGCCACTTCCGGCTTTTTGCTGCTTCCTTGGAAGCTCGAGTCTCTGGGAATTTCTTACCCAGGCTGGCTTTGAACCGCGATCCTCACCTCTCAGCCTCCTGAGTGGCTGGGATGACAGGCGTGAGCACCAGCGCCCGTCTTAGGCCAAGACAGCGTGACCAGCGGCGTGTGGCTCGCTTCCCTCCGCAGGCTACCAGCGCCAGCTGAACTACAGGCACCAGGACGGCTCGTTCAGCACCTTCGGGGAGAGGCACAGCCGGCCCCACGGCAACACCTGGTACGTAAGGGAAGGGGGGCCCCAGAGCTCTCCCCACGAGGCCCAGCGGGATAAGCACCAGCCCACCCAGACCAGGAAGAGGGCGGAAGAGCCAAAGCTCCAACAGTGAACTTACTCTTCACATGTATCCAGGGCCTAGTAGCGCACGCCTGCAATCCCAGCCACTCAGGAGGCTGAGAGCTGAGGATCGCAGTTCAAGGCCAGCCCGGGCAGGAGAGTCCGTGAGACTCTGATCTCCCAAGAACCACCAGAAAACTGGAAGTGGCGCTGTGGCTCAAGGGGTAGAGCACCAGCCTTGAGCTGAAGCGCTGAGGGACAGCGCCCAGGCCCAGAGTTCAAGTCCCACGACCGACAAAGAATAGGAGCTGTGTGTGCGTGTGAGGTGACCCCCGTCCGCCCCCCACACAGGCTCACGGCCTTCGTGCTGAAGACGTTCGCGCAAGCGCGGCGCTACCTCTTCATAGACGAGCTGCACATCACGCGGGCGCTGCAGTGGCTGTCCCGGGGGCAGAAGGACAATGGCTGCTTCACCAGATCCGGCTCGCTGCTCAACAACGCCATGAAGGTACAGCCCCGCCCCGCGCCCGCTGCGCGGCCTGCGCCGCCACCAGGGAAACCCCACCCCGGCCGGGCGCCGCGGCGCACGCCGATAGTCCCAGCGACTCAGGAGGCTGAGAGCTGAGGCTCGATGTTCAAAGCCAGCCCGGGCAGGAACGTCGGTGAGACTCTGATCTCCCATGAACCAGCACAAAGCTGGAATGCTGCTGTGGTTCAAGTGGCAGAGCGCCAGCCTTGAGCACAGAAAGATCAGGGACAGCGCCCAGGCCGTGAGTTCAAACCCCAGCACCAAAATAGACAGACAGACAGACAGACAGACAGACAGATAGATAGATAGATAGATAGATAGATAGATAGATAGATAGATAGATAGACAGACCGTAATATATATTATTGTATTATAATAGTACATATTACTATATTAATAATTATATAAATATATATAGATTATATAAATATATAAATTACGGAATTGACATAATTATATGATTATATAAATAATACGTAATCACTTATGATTATGTAATCATTTGCGATTACGTATTATTTGTAATAGTATATGTTACATGTAATATTACATATAATATGCATAACAATATATATTACATATAACATGCATACTATGTTATACATAATAGCGTATATAATGTAGTATATAGTATACTATATTATACGTAATACAGCATGTATTTATATAATATAGTACACTATATACTTGTAGTATATACTACGTTACATAATATATTTATATATGATATAAATATAATAATATATACACATATTTATATAAAGTAGGTATATTTACAGAATATTTATATATTACCCTATATATTTTATGTATTATACTAGGTTTACGCTATCTACTATTCTACTGTATTTGCTGTACTATATAGTGTGTATGGTATACGACATAGCATATGATGTAGGTCGTTACCTGCTGATGCTGTACATATATACAGCATGCACGCCACATAGACCGCTATGGTCACAGTGTATAAATACACGGCGTTCTCTGTGATGTTCCATGCGGCATCTCGCGTAGTGACTGCAGTATGTATTACGTGCTCATTAAACGTCATCATCATTCCCAGTGTTCTCTGCGCGTGTGCATTGCGCAGCTTCCTCATTCTGCATCGTCCGCTCTGCTTTATGCATCACGCAGTCACGTGGTCCACGCCGCGTGCTCCTCTCCAGCAGCGCCTTCCGTGGGGGGCGTGAGACCCGGGGCCGGGCATTGCGGGCCGGGCGCTGGTGGCGCAAACCTGTGGCGTGTGCCTTGCAGGGCGGCGTGGACGACGAGGCGACACTGTCGGCCTACATCACCATCGCGCTGCTGGAGATGCCGCTGCCCGTCACCGTGCGTGGGCCCCGGCTGAGCCCCCCCCCCCCCCCCCCCCCCGCTGAGCCAGCACCAGGCCCTGAGTTCGAATCTCAGTTCTGACCAAAAGGAAACACAGCACTGTGGATGTGGCCGGGCCACGTAGCGGCTGGCTGTAACACCGGCCTGCGTGCGAGATCTCAGAGTATCTGTCAGGCGCCGGTGGCTCCCGCCTGTCATCCCAGCCACTCAGGAGGCTGAGAGCTGAGGATCGCGGTTCAAAGCCAGCCTGGGCGGGAAAGCCCGTGAGACTGATCTCCAGTGAGCCACCAAGAAGCAGGAGTGGGGGTGTGGTTCAAGGGGTAGAGCGCCAGCCTTAAGTGAAAGAGCTAAAGGACAGGGCCCAGGCCCTGAGTTCAAGTCCCAGCACAGGCACACACACACACACACACACACACCCATGAGACAGATTTTCTGATGCTATTCCTTGGGTCCGTAAGACAGAAACAGATGCACACATGTGTGTTTCTTGGGGGAGGGGGTTGGCACCCCCGTTTCCCGAGCACACCCCCTTTTTGCCTCTGCCCACAGCACCCCGTGGTCCGCAATGCCCTCTTCTGTCTGGAAATGGCGTGGGGCACCGCGAAGGAAGGAGCGCACGGGAGCCATGTGTACACCAAGGCCCTCCTGGCCTACGCCTTCGCCCTGGCAGGAAACGAGGAGAAGAAGAAAGAGCTGCTGGCATCGCTCGAGGCGGAAGCTGTGAAGGAAGGTATGCGCAGGGCCGGGCACCGCAGCGCACGCCTGCCATCCCAGCCACACGGGAGGCTGAGGCCTGAGGATCGCAATTCAAGGCCAGCCCAGGCAGGAACGTCCCTGAGACTCTGATCTCCAAGGAACCACCAGACAGCTGGAAGTGGCGCTGTGGCTCAAGTGGTAGAGTGCCAGCCTTGAACAAAAACATCTCAGGGACAGCGCCCAGGCCCCGAGTTCAAATCCCACAACTGACAACACATAAAAATGAGGAAGGTAGGGACACTCCTGAGAGAGTTCACCCTTCCCACCTCCTCCGCAGTAATGCCCGCCCTGCCCCGGGTCCCTGCTCCCGCCTCTGGTAACCTCCGCTCAGCAGCTTTCAGGGCTGTATAATATATCAGATTATTCCCTCAAAACTGATGGAGCAATTTCCACCTGTGCCTCTTGGGTCATGTCTCTTGCTTTGCTTTGGGTTTAGTACGTTCTCATCCCAGAGCATAAGCCCTAAGCCTCATGCCCTCTCTCGGCTTTCTTGCTTACCCCTGGGCGCTCTCCCACCTGAGTCACGCCTCCAGGCCAGCATTTTGCTGGCTCACTCAACGTGGAGTCTCACCGACTCTTCCACCTGGGCTGGCTTTGAACCTCAACCCAATTCCCAGTTAGCATTACAAGTGGGACTCACTCACGCTCAGCTTCTTTAAAACAGACTTGTCGGTCGTGAGCCTTGAACTCTGGCCCTGGGCGCTGTCCCTGAGCTCTTTATTGCAAGGCGGGCGCTCTACCCCTTGAGCCACAGCGCCACTTCCGGCTTTCTGGTGGTTCATGGGGGATCAGCGTCTCAAGGCCTCTCCTGCCCCGGCTGGCCTCGAACCACAATCCTCAGATCTCGGCCTCCTGAGTGGCTGGGATGTCAGGCATGCGCTGCCGCGCCCGGCTCCCACAGTTCAGATCAGGCCCTGACGAGCGCTGTTCCTGCCGCCCAGGGGACTCGATGCACTGGACGCGGCCACAGAAGCCCAGCGCGCCCGTGGGGCGGTGGTACCAGATGCAGGCCCCCTCGGTCGAGGTGGAGTTGACGGCCTATGTCCTGCTCGCCCTCCTCACGGCCCGGCCAGCCCCAGGCCCCGACGCCCTGACCACCGCCACCAAGGTGGTCCGGTGGCTCACGAAGCAGCAGAATGCCCAGGGCGGGTTCTCCTCCACGCAGGTGACTCCCCCCCCCCCCCCCCCCCGGGTACTGGAACTCGGGGCCTGAGGCCGGGGTGATTGCAAGAAGCCGGGGTGGTGGGAGGGGAGGGGAAGGAGAGGAGAAAAGACCCTATAAAACCCAGAAGCCAAGCCGGGCGCTGATGCTCCCGCCTGGAATCCCAGCCACTCAGGAGGCTGAGATCGGAGGATCGAGGTCAAGGCCAAGGAGCATCTGTGAGACGCTGATCTCCCATGAACCACCAGAAAACCAGACGTGGCGCTGTGGCTCACGTGGTAGAGCGCCAGCCTTGAGTGAAAGAGCTCAGGGACAGCGCCCAGGCCCTGAGTTCAAGTCCTACTCCCGGCACTTAGGAATCATTAAGAACAATGAGGATGAAAGTAACGGATAATAAATGCTAACGGGGATCGTAGTGACTCATGATGCGATCATAATGGGACGAATCCCACAAGGGACGCCTCACCCCCGGCCCCGCCTGAGCGCCACCCCATCTCCCTCTCAGGACACGGTGGTGGCTCTCCAGGCCCTGTCCCGCTACGGGGCGGCCACGTTCTCCAGGACGGGTAAGGCCGTGCAGGTGAGCGTGCAAGGCCTGGACTTCTCCAAACAGTTCCAGGTGAACGATCAGAACCGGCTGGTACTACAGCAGGCCGCTCTGCCACGGGTCCCAGGTCAATACAAAATGTCCGTGTCGGGACAAGGCTGCGTCTTCATCCAGGTGAGGCCCTGAGGCCTGGGGGGGGGGGGGGAGGAAGCTGGGGGGGGGGCTGCGCCTTTCCACTCAACGCTGGCGCTCTACCACCTAAACCACAGCCCCCTTCCAGCTTTTTGCTGGTTCATGAGAGATGAGAGTCTCACAGACGTTCCTGCCTGGGCTGGGCTTTGCGCCTCCCGAGTGGCCGGGATGCCAGGCGTGCGCTACGGGTGTGGGTGGGTCTGAGGAATTCGGAGGCCCGAGCCCGACGGACTTCTGCCTTCCTGTCTCGTAGACATCCTTGAGATACAACATCCTCCCGGGGAGGGAAGATCTCCCGTTCACTTTGGAGGTGCACACGGAGCCCCCAACGTGCGACGGCCCGAAGGCTCACACCAGCTTCCGCCTGGTGCTCAACGTCAGGTGAGGATCCGGGAAGGGAGGAAGCAAGGCGGGTACTGCGTGCTCGCAGTGTGTGTGTGTGTGTGCGTGTGTGTGTGTGTGTGTGTGTGTGTGTGTGTGTGTGTGTGTGCGTGTGTGTGTGTGCACCAGTCCTGGGACTTGAACTCTGGGCCTGGGCGCTGTTCCTGAGTTCTTATGCTCCAGGCTGGCGCTCTACCACTTGAGCCACAGCGCCACTTCCGGTTTTCGGGTGGTTCCTTGGAGATCAGAGTCTCACGGACTTTCCTGCCCAGGCTGGCCTCAGCCTGCGAGCCTCCGATCTCAGCCTCCCGAGTAGCCGGGATGACAGGAGGGAGCCACTTGCTCAGATCAGAGAGACTGTCTGCAAACCTGCACAAAACAAAGCAGTGAGGGTCTCCAATGACAGTTCCTGCTGCCACGGAACAAATCTCAAACCCCACGCAACGTCATCCACTTGGGATTAGAACTCACACACATATGCCAGGCACTGGAGCGCGTACCTGCCGTCCAGCCCCTCAGGAGGCTGAGATCTGAGGATCACAGTTCGAAGCCAGCCTGGGCAGGAAAGTCTGTGAGACTCTCATCTCTAATGGAGCAGCAAAAAGCTGGAAGTGGAGCTGTGGTTCAAGTGGCAGAGGGCCAGCCTTGAGCACAAAAGCTCAAGGATAGCGTCCAGGCCCCCAGTTCAAGTGCCAGGACTGTGTCACACACACACACAGAAAGCACCTAACTCCTCATTTCCCACTTTAGTTATGTCGGGACCCGGCCTGCCTCCAACATGGCCATCATTGACGTGAAGATGCTGTCCGGCTTCAGCCCCATGAAGGCCACTGTGAAAATGGTGGGTCCTTCTGGTCCTGGCCGTGGGCCGTTTGTTCTGTCCCCAGACCCAGACCAGACTCTAGATTCAACTACAACTACATCCAGCCCGGCACCAGTAGCACACGCCTGTCATCCCAGCTGCTCAGGAGGCTGAGATCTGAGGATCGTGGTTCGAGGCCAGCCCGGGCAGGAAAGTCTGTGAGACTCTGATCTCCAATGGACCCCCAAAAAGCTGGAAGTGGAGCTGTGGCTCAAGTGGTAGAGTGTCAGCCTTGAACAAAATAATCTCTGGGATAGTTCAAGGCCGTGAGTTTAAGACTCAGGGTGTGTGTGCGTGCGTGCACACACACACACACACACACACACGCACACACAACTATTACATCAACTTCCGAGAAAGACTTCCACTTTCTCCAAACTCATGAATACAGGGCGTGTTTGTTCGCGCGCCCACAGCACGCTGCGAGAAGCCGAGACTACAGGGGGGCGATTGTGAGCAGTGCCCTGCTTTTGAATTGAGGTTAGACGCTTCAGAAGAAAAGCAGTGAAATACTGAACTGAGCCTCCATATATGTGTGTGAGAGTCCCCCAGCCTGGCACATTTTCCTCCCTGTTCTTCAGAAAAAATCAATTTACAGAACAAGTCCTGGGCCCCGCGGACATGGCCCGAATTTCATCCAAATTTCTTTCCATATTTTGCTCTTTTTTGTGTGTGTGCCAGTCCTGGGGCTTGAACTCAGGGCTTGGGTGCTGTCCCTGAGCTCCTTTTGCTCAAGCCTACCCCTGAAGCCACAGCTCCACTTCCTGGGTTTTGCTGGCTCATGGGAGATGAGAGTCTCAGGGACGGGCCTCCAACCACGATCCTTGGCTCTCAGCCTCCTGAGTAGCTAGGCTGACAGGCGGGAGCCACCGGGGCCGGCCCTGTTTTCTTCGCATCCGTCATGGATGAGCATCCGTCGCTGTATGTACATAAACTGCAGACGTGCATTTTTTATTCTCCTCTGCTCGTAAGCAATGAGTGTGAGGGCCTGGCGGGGTTCGCAGGCCCCCCCCAAGACTCAGTGTCTTGCTTCTCTGCAGCTTGAGCGATCCAGCGCCGTGAGCCGGACGGAGGTCAGCAGCAACCACGTCCTCATTTACCTGGACAAGGTGAGGAGCGCGCCGGTGCACGGGGAGGCCTGGAGTCCAGGCCATGCCTGGGGGAGGCAGGCAGGAGCTTGGGGGCCCCCCCCCCAGCTCACACGCTGACACAGCGCCAGGCGGGGCGGGGAGCTCCAGGAGAACGCGAACTCCAGCGAGCCAGCAAAATGCAGACGTGGAGGTGTGGCTCAAGGGGTAGAGCGCCAGCCTGAGTGAAAGAGCTAAGGGGACTCGAATGAATGACACGCAAATGAGCAGCTTTGAATATTCAAATGAGCCTGGTTCGGATGAGCGCCGCCCAGGTGGAGAAGCAGCTCAGCTTCTGACGCCTGCCGTGCCCGCTGCTCAGGAGGCTGAGAGCGGAGGATCGCGGGCCGAGGCCAGCCTGGGCAGGAAGGCCCGCGAGACTCTGATCTCCAAGGAACCCAGCGAGATAGCTGGAGGCGTGGCTCAAGTGGTAGCGCGCCAGCCTGGGGGGGAAAAGGTCAATTGTGGGTGTGAGGTCCTGAGTTCAAGTCCCAGGGCTGGCATGGAGAGAAGGCGCTGGCGTGTGGTTTCTGCCGTAGGTGACGAGAGAGGCCGTGAAGCTGTCCTTCGAGGTCGCGCAGGACGTGCCCGTGAGCAACCTGAAGGCCGCCTTGGTGAAAGTCTACGACTATTACGAGACGGGTGAGTGTGCGCAGCCCTCGGCGGCTCCTGACCGCCAGAATCGCGCGTGGGGAGAGCCTCTGGCACCATTCGGTACGTGGAAGAACGGCTTTCCAGCCCCGCGCCCCTGGCTCCCGCCTGGCATCCCAGCCACCCCGGAGGCTGAGGCCTGAGGATCGCAGTTCGAGGCCAGCCCGGGCAGGAAAGTCTGGGAGACTCTGATCTCCCATGCACCAGCAGAAAACCCGAAGTGGCGCTGTGGCTCAAGGGGTAGAGCGCCAGCCTTGAGCTGAAGAGCTGAGGGACAGCGCCCAGGCCCCGAGTTCGAGCCCCACGACCCCATCACACATAACCAGCACTCCCTCAATAACACCACATAATAACGGCTTCCTTTCATTTTGCAGACGAGTTTGCCGTTGCCGAGTACAACGCCCCCTGCAGCAACGGTGAGTGCTTCACACCCCGGCCCTCGGCCGGGTCTCCCACACACCCTCCTTCATGGAGCTTGCAGGCATCCGGTGCGCACGCCTGTAATCCCGGCCACTCAGGGGGCTGAGAGCTGAGGATGGAGCTTCCAAGGCAGGAAAGTCTGTGTGTGAGACTCTTTCTCTCCAAGGAACCACCAAAAAGCCAGAAGTGGAGGCGTGGCTCACGGAGTCAGGCGCCAGCCGGGAGTAAAAAAAGTTCAGGGGCAGCAACCAGGTCCTGAGTTCAAGTCCCACGACTAGCATTAAAAAAAAAAAAGCCGGGCACTGGTGCTCACACCTGTCAACCCAGCTACAAAGGAGGCTGAGATCTGAGGATCGAGGTTCCAAGGCCAGCCCAGGCAGGAAAGTCCATGAGACCCTGGTCTCCCATGAGCCACCAGAAAACCGGAAGTGGCGCTGTGGCTCAAGTGGTAGAGCGCCAGCCGTGAGCTGAAGAGCTGAGGGACAGTGCCCAGGCCCAGAGCTCAGGCCCCACGACTGACCAAAAGAGAGAGAGAGAAAAGATCCACTTTTTAGAGTAAATCCTAGTGCATTTCCATAGATCCTGCTCTCCTGATTTAAAGAAAGGAATATTATATACTTGTGAACCCTAAGTCTGTATTAACTGTCTTTTCTTGCCATTCCCACAGTCCACGAAAATTCTTGAGGACGGGCTGAGTGAGCAGCGGAGTCCCTGCGCTCAGAACTTCACAGGAACTCTTCAAATATACATGTACATGTTTATATCTCTAAAGATCTGATACCAGGCACAGCGCTTCACACCTGTAATCCCAGCCACTCAGGAGGCAGAGGCCTGAGAAGCGCGAATCAAAGCCGGCCCAGAAGGAAAGTCCATGAGACTCTTTCTCCCCAGTGAACCAGCAAAAAAGCTGGAGGTGGCGCTGTGGTTCAAGTGGTAGAGCACCAGCCATAAGCAAAAAAAAAAAAATCAAGGACAGCGCTCAGGCCCTGAGTTCAAGCCCCATGGTAGACACCAATAATAATGATGATGATGATGATGATGATGATGACTTGATAAATAAACCATTTCTTCTTAGCATTCTCTCTCTCCATTCCCTCCTTTGTTTGTTTTTACATTTTTCAAGTCATTCTCAATAGACTCTTAGGATAAAAACATAATCCCAGTACTGGGCTCGGGCGGCTCCCGCCTGTCACCCCAGCTCCTCAGGAGGCTAAGATCTGAGGATCACAGTTGGAGGCCAGCACACACAGGAAAGTCTGTGAGACTTATTTCCAAGGAACCACCAGGAAACTGGAAGTGGCGCTGTGGCTCAAGTGGTAGAGCACCAGCCTTGAGCTGAAGAGCTGAGGGACAGCGCCCAGGCCCTGAGTTCCAGTCCCAGGATACCAATAACAACAATAATAATAATACAGATAAATAACCTACTAGGGCTGGGCAGGTGGCTCAGTGGTAGAGCGCTCGCCTAGCATGCATGAAGCCCTGGGTTCAATTCCTCAGGACCACATACGCAGAAAAAGCCAGGAGTGGCGCTGTGGCTCAAGTGGTAAAGCGCCAGCCTTGAGCCAAAGAAGCTCAGGGACAGCGCCCAGGCCCTGAGTTCAAGGCCCAGGACTGGTACAACATGAAACCAATTACCTACTAATGCAATCCACATCTGAAAACACAAGAACACTAGAACCCACAATGAGCAGAAGGAGAGCTAGCGTTGCACTGGATTTCGCGTGGCTTTCTGGCTGTGCACTGTGCTCTCCCGTGCAGGTGTGACCGTATATAATCCCGGCCGTCCATGGACCACATCGCTGTCCTTCCCCACGCTGTGAGAACCCGCACCGCCCTTCCCAGCCTCAGCCAGACAGAGCTTCCCTTCCTCCTGAGCTCCGCCCCGCGCCCCGAATGAAACACCAGCTTCCGTGGAAGTCAATTCCCAGGAAGATAAATGGGATCCGGCCTCTCGGTCCTGTTCAAGGAGGAGATGCCCTGCATTATCATTCTCTTTCTTCACGCCTGGAATCCCACCCAGTCAGGAGGATCGTGGCTCGAAACCAGCCAGGGCAGAAAAGCTGGCGATCCTCAGAGCTCAGCCCCTTGGGTAGCCGGGATTACAGGCGTGCGCCACGGATACAGGACCTTCGTGTTTTGTTGGTTTCATTTTTTTGAGGCACTGGTGCGTGGAGACTTCGGGAACCCCACCCCGCGGCTGGTGGACACGCTCCTCCGTGAGACCCCTCATCCCACTGGCTGGTCGTGAATTCATTTCAATTAAGATCTGAATTAATATGCAGGTGCACATTCGGAAACCACAGAATGTGATTTCCCCGTGGAGGAGCTCAGAGCTCCGGCCACGGCCCTGGGCACCCATCCACCCGGGGAGCCGAGTGCTCTCCACCACAAACCCTCCACAAAGCGCCTTTGCTAGGGTACACACAGCAACCAGCCGGACGCTGGTGCTCACGCCTGTAATCCCAGCTGCTCAGGAGGCTGGGACCTGAGGATCGTGGTTCAAAGCCAGCCCAGACAGGAAAGTCCCTGAGACACTGATCTCCCATGAACCACCTGAAAACTGGAAGTGGGGCTGTGGCTCAAGTGGTAGAGCACTAGCCTTGAGCTGAAGAGCTGAGGGACAGCGCCCAGGCCCAGAGTTCAAGCCCCACCACCGACAAAACAAAAACAAGAGAGAGACAGTACCCAGGCCCTGAGTTCAAGTCTTACCCAGTATCAGCACAAAAATAAAAGAGAATGAATAGAAAAGAATTTACCTGAGGCCTAAAATCATATTCTCTACCATATACCAAATTTTCTTCCTTCTTTCCTTCCTTTCTGTCCGTCTGTCTGTCCTGGGGCTTGAACTCAGGGCCTGGGCGTTATTTCTGAGCTTTCTCACTCAAGGCTGGTGCTCTACCACTTGAACCGCAGCACCATTTCTGGCTTCTTGGTAATTTATTTGGAAATGAGGCATCTCATGGGCTCGTGCCTGGCTTTGAACCTGGAGCTTCAGGTCTCAGCCTCCTGAGTAGCTGGGATTACAGGCGTGAGCACCAGGACCCCCGCCCCTCCTTTTTGATCTTAATCACACGCATACACACACACACACACACACCATTCATCCCAGCCTCCAGTCTCCCCGCAGTCTTCCACGCTGAATCGGGGCAGGGTAGCGGTCACCAACTCTAACACAGTGAATGGCTCCGTGTGTCCTTCCGGGCTGAGAGAGGCCGGGAGGCGGACAAGAGACAGGAAAGGCCGCCCGAGCGGGACGCGACTCTAGTTAATCCTACAGCATCTGTGGAGGTTGATATTGCAGCCATGCGCCCGAGGCTCCGGCGGGAGCGGTCATCCGCGCCACTCAGGAGGCTGAGAGCTGAGGATCGCGGTTCAAGGCCAGCCCGGGCAGGAAAGTCTGTGAGGCTCTCATCTCCAATTAGCAAAAAGCGGGACGTGGAGCTGCGGCTCCAGGGGTAGAGAATCAACCTTGAACCACCAGCACCAGGAGCTCAGGGACAGCGCTCAGGCCCTGAGTTCAAGCCCTGAGACCCGCAGCGAACACTAAGGAGGAGAAACGTCACCGTGAGCGAAGAAACGGCGCACGCACCAACCACCGAGCAACAAGCGCCCGTCCTTCCTCCCCCTCCTCCCCCCTCCTTCCTCCCCCTCCTCCCCCTCCTCCCCCTCCTTCCTCCCCCTCCTCCCCCTCCTTCCTCCCCCTCCTCAGCCCTCCTTCCTCCCCCTCCTCCCCCTCCTCAGCCCTCCTTCCTCCCCCTCCTTCCTCCCCCCTCCTCCCCCCTCCTTCCTCCCCCTCCTCCCCCTCCTTCCTCCCCTCCTCCCCCTCCTTCCTCCCCCTCCTCCCCCTCCTCCCCCTCCTTCCTCCCCCTCCTCCCCCTCCTCCCCCTCCTTCCTCCCCCTCCTCCCCTCCTCCCCCTCCTTCCTCCCCCTCCTCAGCCCTCCTTCCTCCCCCTCCTCCCCCTCCTCAGCCCTCCTTCCTCCCCCTCCTTCCTCCCCCTCCTCCCCCCTCCTTCCTCCCCCTCCTCCCCCTCCTTCCTCCCCCTCCTCCCCCTCCTTCCTCCCCCCTCCTCAGCCCGTCCTTCCTCCCCCTCCTCCCCCTCCTTCCTCCCCCTCCTTCCTCCCCCTCCTCCCCCTCCTTCCTCCCCCTCCTCCCCCTCCTTCCTCCCCCTCCTCCCCCTCCTTCCTCCCCCTCCTCCCCCTCCTTCCTCCCCCTCCTCCCCCTCCTTCCTCCCCCTCCTCAGCCCTCGTTCCTCCCCCTCCTCCCCCTCCTTCCTCCCCCTCCTCCCCCTCCTTCCTCCCCCTCCTCCCCCTCCTTCCTCCCCCTCCTCAGCCCTCCTTCCTCCCCCTCCTTCCTCCCCCTCCTCAGCCCTCCTTCCTCCCCCTCCTCCCCCTCCTTCCTCCCCTCCTCCCCCTCCTTCCTCCCCCTCCTCCCCCCTCCTTCCTCCCCCTCCTCCCCCTCCTTCCTCCCCCTCCTCAGCCCTCCTTCCTCCCCCTCCTTCCTCCCCCTCCTCAGCCCTCCTTCCTCCCCCTCCTCAGCCCTCCTTCCTCCCCCTCCTCCCCCTCCTTCCTCCCCCTCCTCCCCCTCCTTCCTCCCCCTCCTCCCCCTCCTTCCTCCCCTCCTCCCCCTCCTTCCTCCCCCTCCTCCCCCTCCTTCCTCCCCCTCCTCCCCCTCCTTCCTCCCCCTCCTCAGCCCTCCTTCCTCCCCCTCCTTCCTCCCCCTCCTCAGCCCTCCTTCCTCCCCCTCCTCAGCCCTCCTTCCTCCCCCTCCTCCCCCTCCTTCCTCCCCCTCCTCCCCCCTCCTTCCTCCCCCTCCTCCCCCTCCTTCCTCCCCCTCCTCAGCCCTCCTTCCTCCCCCTCCTCCCCCTCCTTCCTCCCCCTCCTCCCCCTCCTTCCTCCCCCTCCTCCCCCTCCTTCCTCCCCCTCCTCAGCCCTCCTTCCTCCCCCTCCTTCCTCCCCCTCCTCAGCCCTCCTTTCCTCCCCCTCCTCCCCCTCCTTCCTCCCCCTCCTCCCCCTCCTTCCTCCCCCTCCTCCCCCTCCTTCCTCCCCCTCCTCCCCCTCCTTCCTCCCCCTCCTCCCCCTCCTTCCTCCCCCTCCTCAGCCCTCCCCTCCTCCCCCCTCCTCTTCATCTTCTTTTCTCCCTTTTTGTCTTCTCTTCTTCCTCCTCCTCCCTTTCCCCTCCCCCCACCCCATTGCTAAGGACGCGCAGCCTCCGCTGTCACCAGCACAGTGACCAGCAGGTCAGCGGCGGGTCAGCGGCGGGTCAGCAGGTCATCGGGTCAGCGGCGGGTCAGCAGGTCATCGGGTCAGCGGCGGGTCAGCAGGTCATCGGGTCAGCGGCGGGTCAGCGGCGGGTCATCGGGTCAGCGGTGAAGGTTTCCTGGGGGCGGCGCGGACGGCTGGGCTCAGGCGCTGAGTTCAAATGTCGGCCTTGAACCGAAACACAAAAGGAAGTAAATAAAAGAGTAAAATAGATGCGTCAGCCCGTGACGCGGGACCCGGCCCGCACCCCAACCCCAGCCCCCCCGCACCCCAACCCCCCCCCGCACCCCAACCCCAGCCCCCCCCCGCACCCCAACCCCAGCCCCCCGCACCCCAACCCCAGCCCCCCCCCGCACCCCAACCCCAGCCCCCCGCGCCCCAACCCCAGCCCCCCCCCCCGCACCCCAACCCCAGCCCCCCCCGCACCCCAACCCCAGCCCCCCCCGCACCCCAACCCCAGCCCCCCGCGCCCCAACCCCAGCCCCCCCCCCCGCACCCCAACCCCAGCCCCCCCGCACCCCAACCCCAGCCCCCCCCCCGCACCCCAACCCCAGCCCCCCCCGCACCCCAACCCCCCCCGCACCCCAACCCCAGCCCCCCCCCGCACCCCAACCCCCCCCGCACCCCAACCCCAGCCCCCCCCCGCACCCCAACCCCAGCCCCCCCCCCGCAC